AAGCTCATTTATTAGATCTTAATTCTTTATCGAGAAAAGCTTTAGCGATTTTTACGTTAGCGGAACGAGATTAATTTAGTTCTACTACTTCGAATTATACTAAATTAGAATAAGATGAAATATAAGAATTTATAAAGCTTAAAGATGTTATTTAATTTGATTTAGTAGAAGAAGAAGAAGAAGAAGAAGAAGCTATGAAAGGCTTTGGCGAAGAGATAATTCTATAGAATCTAGAAGATTCATTAAACTCCCCGAATCTAATAAAAGTAAAGTTTAATTATAGATTATTTTCGAAAATAAGTATTTTTAGATATAATTACTTTTAAGTAGATAATAAGATATTATTATAATTAGAAGAGATATAACTCTTAGTATCACACTTAATATATAGCTAACCATCTTTTCTATAAGATTAATAGATTATTTTATTAATATAAGAGTTTTTCGAAGTACTACGCTCGAGTATATCTTTTAAAATAAATTAATAGTTATAAAAGCGACTATTAGCTATAAGATTCGAGAGTTCGCTTTTATTAGCGTTTCCTTTATTAAGATTTTAAGCTAAGATTAAAGTCGAAGTAGAAATCGAAACTTCTTTATGAAGAACGATAATACTCTAGAGATTGAAATTATGTAAAACGTTAAGATCCTATGAAAGCCTCTAGTAGCTACTTCGATGAATTTGTATAAAAGAATTAAGACTAATAGTATAAGGGCCTCGAGGCTTTAGTAGCTTAATGAGAGGCAAGTAAGAAAGTTATTTACTACTTCGATAAGTTTCGTTTTATAAGAGACTTATAGAATTATAGCTAATCGAATCTCGATTCTTTATCTAAGAGCTTCTAAATTTCGACGTTAATACGCTATACTTCTTTTATAAGATTATAGATTATATATAGAGATCTATCGGACGATATTATACCTCTTATTACTTTCTTTTAAATCTCGTAATTATTTAATCTTTTAATAAAGGTACGGAGAATAATATCGAGTATAATAGATTTAAGAAAATTAAAGATAATATTAAAAGTAATAGCGAGTTTATTTTTAATTTTAACTCTTTATATTAAGTTAATAACACGCTTAAAGTAGAAAGAAAGGAATTCTTCGGAACGTTAATATAGATCTACAATTTCGATATCGAATAGAATCGCACTTACTTTTATAGCTTTCGAGAGAAACTTCTCGTAGAAGATAACTCGGAATTACTAGATTGTCTATTAAAAACTAGTATACTCTACTTCGATAAGAAGTCGAATAGCTTCTAAATGACTTTCTAATTACTTAAAGATATCGTCGATAAGAAGTATATTAAGATATTCTAGATACTTAACTAGAGGGAAACGACCTTCTTTATCTTAATAATCTTTCATATTAAAATTAAACTTTCGAAGTTACTTTAATACTAATATATTAATAATTCTAGAGAAATTATTATATATAGTAAATGTAAAATGAGATATAATTATTTTTATAGTATTGCTAGAAAGAGTACTAGACTATATAAAAGCTTTAGATTAATCTAAAGAAAGCGTACTTCGATAAGATTCTAATAATGAGACTATGAAATTCGTAGAACTATTACCGAGAGGAATTCTCGAGAAGTCTAAAGCGTTAAGACGATAATGATATGTTAATTCCTTAAGGAGATTTCTAATACTCGCTAGAATAATAGTGCTATAACTTACTTTCGTAGTAGTAAAAGAGTTCTAGTAAATAATGATAATAACTAGGAAATCGAGTTAAGTAATAGCAACTTCTTAAAATACTTATTAAAGGCTTCTTAAGTCTTAAGAAGTAATTTAGTAGATAAAAGAAGCTTTCTGAACTAAATAACTCAAGAAAGTGCTTTTATAGTAAGGTTTTTAGTAAGGGATTCAGCGGAAAAATAAATAACGATGAATTACAGCCGGATAGGCTAAATAAAGATTCTAAAAATATATAAGAATAATAATAAAGAAGATTCTACTTCAGGGCCATAAAAAGATTTAGGTAGAGATCTCTAAAGAACAAGAATAACCACGGTATCGTGTGGGTAGAAGAGGATGTAGATTCTATGGAAGTAGGATCCGAAGGATCTTAGGGATCCAGCCAAGCGAGCTATGCTATATATGGCTAGAAAGAACAACCCCGCAGGGAGCACCTTCCGACTCCTCGCTCCCATGCTTTCGTCTTATATTTCTTTCATATCATCGTCGCTTTCTACCACCTTCTATTATTGTCGACTCTCTCTTTACCCTCTACAGTCTAAATTACCTACTATATAGCCGGGATCATATCGCGCCTTTTTAATAATCCCCCAAATATCGAGATAATCCGTCGCTTTTGATTCGAATTATCTAATTAAAAGGAGTCGATTCCTGCAGAGGCTTATCAGCATGATTGGCCGTATGTTATAAATCTATAGATTCGACGATACATTAATAAGGCCGTCTTTTAAAACAACGGTATTACTGTAATAGAAGAGATCTACTACTGTCGTCTGTATTAAAATAAATAGGTAAAGACGCAAGGTTAAGGCGAACGAAAGACGCTGATTCGCTTTGTGTGACCGTGTTTTATAAAGCTAAAGAAGACGCTGTTATATCACCTCGTCTACGATTCTACGTTAATTAAATATACGATTGAGAAGTTCGGTGGTACCGTGGAGTATAATTATAATATCGACGATCTCGATGCTATTAAGCGCAATCAGTATATTAAAAACGTCGTTCTCGCTTAAGTATAGAAAGGCTATAAACCTTACGAGATTGCTAATACTATTAAGGCCTATGCTTATTCTAAGGTTGCTACGGATCTTATTGCTGCTGGTGGATCTTATTTCACGCGTTAAGACGTAATTAATGTTAAGACTCGGTGGCGATAAGATAATCTAGATTCTCGTTACGTATCTAAAGGACGGTTTTAGCTGATAGATTAGTGGGAGGATCTAAATAAATAGCTTCTATAGGTACGCCACGTGATACGCTTATCTATAGCCTTTAATTTGTTCATTTATAGTGTTAACATATCATTAGTAAGGGTTTCTTTGCGAGAATATTACCGCTATTAGATAGACCGATAAGACGTTATCGCGTGCGATCATATGAGTTGCTCCGCATCGTATTAATATTCTTCGAATACGTGATTATCTCACTCTTATAGATTCCACTTATAAGACTAATTGACTAGGCTAATTTTTATATATTATAATAATTCGAGACGAGCACGGTTACTGGCGTTCTTGCGCACATGTTTTAGCGTAGTATAAGAATGATAATATTCTAGAGATCGCGTTTAAGATAATTAAGAAGTGATATAGTAATCTAGGAGGCTGGCGTTTTCGATATATACTAACTGATGACTCTACTATAAAGCAAAAAGCTGTTCGACACGCGTTTTTAGATCTCGACGGCGGTGAGACTGAGATAACTTATCTTTTATATACCTGGCATTCAAAATAGGCCCTCCGACGACGATTCAAAGGGCCCTATACGAAGAAGACCTTTCAGCACCTCCGCTCCGCTTTTAAATATCGACGAAGTAATCTTATCGTTAAAACTTTAATTAAGACGGCGATACTTACCGCCTCTAAAGAAGAGTAAAAATATATTTATCGAGAGTGGTTTTTGACGCGACGATAGTAGGCTATAGATTATAGAAACCACGCGCCCCTCTTAATTCAGATCTCGACTACATCGCCGGTAGAGGGGTACCATTCTCACCTTAAAGATCTTGATGAGAAGACTGTTCTTTAGCGATTTAGTCTTACCGATATCGCGTTATAAGCCGATGTTATCGATAAGAAATAGAATAAAAAGACTGCTATCACCGCTCGCAAATTTCGTATTAATATTCTTTCTTAAATCGCTAAATACCCTTATCTTTAGAAGCTTCCGACGTCTATCTAAACCCTTCTTACGAATAAGATCACCGCGGTAGGTGATCTTATTATAACCTCGAACGAGTTAAAAGAGCTAAACGACGAGATCTACTGCGATTACGAGTTCTTTCGTAAATATCAGCTATCGTATCGCGATATTTAGACTTAATATTAGCTCTTTAAGACACTAAAAGAGAAGGATTTTAACCGCTAGGCGTTTATATAGAAAAACTCGAGCTTTAAGCTCTATAAGGATATTATCTCGAAATATTACGAGAGGAATATCGACGGTGAGATTGAGGCGTTGATAAGACGTCGATTTAATATAAGAGAGGCTCTGGATACTGTTCGTTTTAAGTACTACGATTTAAAAGAGTTAGTGAAACATCTTTCTTTAGCTAAGGCCGATTGAGTTATAAAGTGATGGATCGCTAAACTCGAGATTATTATCGATCCACTACGATCTATAAGTATAGCGGACTTTTAGGAGGAGGTGTAAGCTAAGTATAGGGTGGTGGAAGAGGTAAAGAATCCTCTAAGAGGGGGTCTTTACGACTATAAATATAGGAACGACGGTAACGACGTTAATTAATAAATTATACAGCCTCAAATGTACCTAATTGAGTGACAGCGAATTGCCAGAAGATCAGACGATTGTTGATACGATGTTTGCCTGAGTTGCACGCGTCTCCATTGTTTACCTCCTATTCTATATGAGGAATGGTGGAGAAGACTGCGCGTGTGGCTTGCAGTAGCCTACAGTAGCGTCTGCCATTCTAATCGGGACCCATTTGGCAGCCACCCCACCAAATTTTCGCCGTAACCACCGCCAAATGTGCGTAAGAGGTATTTCGGCATTACATAGACATAGAACCACATTCAAGTAGCCGTTGCAGTAGTCACTGTAGCTATTCAAGTAGATTACAAGTAGTTACTATCTAAAAATCGGGCAGAACCTCTGTACAGAGTGGTGAAAAAAAAATGGGCTGGGGCACACCAAAATGGAGCTCTATGACTGCACTCCCTATATATGGCGTATCAGACGGCTGGACTGTGCCAGAAACACGTCGTTAAACGACTTATTGACAGATCTTTGTGCGCGAGACTGATCCATAAGGATGTGGTGTAGTGGTGAGGT